ACATGAAACATTGGTGTGAATAACTGTATGATTTGGAGGAGTAATGTTGGTGAATACAATGTTGGAGGAGTAAGGGAGACTGGCTGGGTGTGACAGCTCACACTCGCGGTGTTCTGAATGTGTTGATGGTGAATGTATATGTGTGTGACAGTGTATAGTCTGTAAATAGATTGTATATATACATAAATTAGCATGATACATGGTAAATATGTGCAACATATGTGTACACAAGTGTCATGCACGTAACAGTGTCCTCAGACAGTACGGATGTTTTACTGCCATAATATAGTGTACGTGTTCATTATACATAGGATTAGCAAGTAAAAACAAATAAAATGTATTTGGAACTGTGCGCAAAAAATGAACAAAAACATATTCGCGGCAACTCACACGCCCCGCCCCGGGCGCCCCACTGGCCCTGGGAGCTTACTGCACGGGCGAACGGGGAATGATAATGTCACGCGTCAACTTACGGACCCCATAGCACCCAAAGTAAGTACAAGTTCAAAATTTTTTTGATATACCAAACTGGGGGAAGGGTTTTTGACACTTTAAAAAACAAAAATATTTTTTTCAAGATAATTTATTTCCTGCACACTGCGGGGGTGTCATATTTAAAGGCCATGCAGTTAAAGGATTAAGAACAAGAGGTCATAGATTTAAACTAGCTAAAAACAGATGCCGAAGAAATATAAGAAAATTCACTTTCGCAAACAGAGTGGTAGACGGTTGGAACAAGTTAGGTGAGAAGGTGGTGGAGGCCAAGATCGTCAGTAGTTTCAAAGCGTTATATGACAGAGTGCTGGGAAGACGGGACACCACGAGCGTAGCTCTCATCCTGTAACTACACTTAGGTAATTAACACTTAGGTAATTACACGTAAGTATGCACATCCATGTGCACACACAGTATACATATGTACATGAGTACACACAATATCACACACATGAAAAGTAAATTACAAGCCGCCGACCAGTGGGCAGAGAGCACCATGCCGGTCAGGCGAAGAAGGCACAAAACTGCATCAAAAGGCCCACCTAGACAACAAAACCTCAAAGTCCCAGCACGACCACAACACGTGCCAAGACCCAAAAAGATCAGTCTGCAAGCCAGGAAGACCCCAGAACTCCAGAAGGCAGAACCGAGTCACACACAAGGAAACAAAGCCCCCTGAACCCACAAAGGGGGCCCAAGAGGAAGAAACCTCTGGAACGAAACCAAAGAACCCAAAGGAACCTGGAATCGAACCAGGGGGAACCCAAACCACCACATTTGCCGGCAGAGATACACCACAGAAAGGCAAAGCACAGTCCCCAGACAGAACCCCCAGGGAAACCGAGGGACAAGGTGTGGGAGCAAGCATAACAGCCAGGGACACCGAGCCCAAACCCAAGGGCCCAGACCCAAAACCGACAATATGGAAAACCCAGTGTAAAAATCAACACTCAAATGTTCCCAGAGAAACAGGAAACAGGCAGAAAACACCAGAAAAGCAACGAAATGACAACAGCAGAATAATACCCCTGAAAAAGGGTGAAAACTCGCCCAAGACGCTCGCTCGCACACCCAGGTGCATGTAAACAAACCGCAACGCCACCCTGGTGGCCACGCCGGGAAACCGGCAGAAGAAAATGGCCACCAGAACAGAGGGCTGTGACCGACGCAAAAGATACGAAAACACGCTAGCAAAAATGGGAAGCAAGCAGACTGGATGGGCAAAAACTCCGCCCAAAAGCAGAAAACCCAGGCAGGGGCAAACTGCCCCAGAACTGCTAGCAAGCATCCCCCACAGCCCCGGAAAACAGCAACAGAGGCCCTGGGAACCAGCAACAGAGGCCCCGGGGCAGAGCCGTCCACCAAGCCCTCCGCCCTTAAAGAAAAGTAAGAGTCCATGGGAAAGGCAGCAAGAAAGGGCCGCTGGTAAGACCCAGAAGCCTTGGCAGGAGTAACAAGCTCGAAAACCTCCGTCCCCAACCCAAACGGTGCAGCCCCCGAAAACCGCCCGAGTCTCGAGCCCCAACTAAACCCCGCCCTGACCCCGAAACCCGCAGACAGTCCGGAGCCGGGAACAGGGAGGGAAAGGGCCAACAGCACCTAACCAAAACGAGGCGGCCTCAGGGCATCCGAGTGGGAAACCAACCTAGCGTGTTGCAGCAACCTAACCTAGCTTGCAACACCAATGCCATCTGTACTCTGAACAGTAACATCATCAGGAGAGTACTGGAGAACAAGCAGAGAATATCTCTCGAAAGACTCTGGGTCAAGGTGCAGTGACCCAACAGGCAACATGACAGAGGTAAAAGTGGCGACTGTTACCCGGAGACAAGGGCACAGCAACCAACGATCCCATACAAGAAGGGTTGGAACCCGGAAGATACATTCAATGGTCCACCGAGCCCAGACAGGGGTTTCCAGGGCCCATAGGCTGACTGCTACGGGAAGCCCGGGCAAGGTGTTGCTAACCGGTTAAGAAACCCAAAAATAACAAGAGGGTAGAGGATAACACTGAAAACCCCTGCAACGTGTACAATCACGGGGCCTAGCAGAGGGCCACCAAACACTACCAGTGGAACTATAGCCACACTAGGCAGACCCCCACCAGGCAAATGTTAATAAAAACAAAAGAAAAACCCCGCAAAAGTACACCGTCTCCAGAGGCAACAGGAACCGGTCGCCGCTTAGGTGGCTGGCCGCGCAACATCTTGACGCCCTAACCAGCACAATACCAGTCCCTACCCAGGGCCAAACAAGGGCCCTAAGCCCCAGCTGGCCCCAAGGGCGAGGCAAATGCCGGGCAGCAAAAACCTCTACGGGAATGGTTCCCGAACGCCCCAGGGAAGATAACCCTGTCACGCAGGGGCAGTACTCACAGGGTGCTTAGGGAAGGAAGCCCCTAAGCACATGCAGCCCCGGCACTGATGAGGTACTCCTGGCCACTGCACAACACAATACACGGCAGTGAACACCACACAAGGCAAACACCGCCTAGGAAACTGAGAAACTGAGAAGCGTCTATCCTGGTTGACATTAGCTTATGAACTGAAGCTAGGCAGCCGGCGCGGTAAGTCCAGGACTCCCCCCCTCCTCCTCTCGGGGCGGGGAGGGCTGTGCGTACGATCAGCGCGGCAGTAAAGTGTGATGTTTGCTTGTTTCCTTGGGATTGTAGGGAGTTTCTACCTTTCTATTCGTTTTTTTGTTTTAGTTTTTTACCATGTGGGGTTTGTTTTGTTATGCCTACCTTTCTGGGTGCCTAACCCCAGTCGATGGCAGATAAGGAAAACCCCAACCACAAGGGGGTTTTCCAGGGCCATTGCTCCCTGAAACCTCTCTGAAGGGGCCAGGTTCTGGCGCTGGTCCCTGGTAGGTCTGAACTCCTTAACTAATGTCCTGGTCTAATATAACATACATTAACCCAATAAGCTCCAGGAAGCCGTAGGGGGCTCCCCACAGAAAACTGTGTTTTTCATGTAAGGGAAATCTTCGAAACCTCTTTACCGATTGCTTTTAAATTTTGACAAAACTTTGCATTCGAATAGGTGCATGTTTTTCTATACCTACTATATACATGGCTCACCTGTGACAGGAAAAACATGCTTTTTTTGAAAAACAGCGCCATCTGTTGGACATAAGAGCAACACATACTGTAATCTCCGAAAGTTCTTCACCGATTGCTTTGAAATTTTGAGACAACGTTCCATTCGAATAAATGCATGTCTTTATATACCTACTATATAGATGCCAAACCTGCGACAGGTAAAAACATGCTTTTTTGAAAAACGGTGCCATCTGTTGCACGTAAGAACAACACTTACTATGCAAAATATGTTACGATTCCATTTCAATGTTTCTGATTTCATGGACAAATTAAATTTTCATAGATTTTTATTTATTTTCATTTTTATTTAATATTTTGTGAGACATTGCCTTGCAATTGAGCTGTGTTGTTTACCATACCGATCATTTTGTAAGTATAAGTATAGATGCCACATCTGTGACAGGTAAAAACACTTATTTTAAGACACAGCGCCATCTGTTGCACGTAAGAAGAACACACACTATACTAAATATGTTACGATTCCGTTTCAATGTTTCTGATTCCATTGACATTGAATTTTCATAGATTTTGATTTATTTTCATTTTGATTTAATTATTTTGTGTGACAATGCATTGGAACTGAGCTGTGTTGTTCACCATACTGTTTATTTCGTGAGAATAGTTTATTTTTTACTTTTCATTATTTTTTCTTTTCGTTTTTTTTAACTATTTTTCTTATATTTCAGTGATGGGAACATCAGATCATTTGGGAATGCATCAGACAAGGGAGTGGGGAATGGTGGGGAGGATGAGGGGATGGGAGTGGGGAATGGTGGGGGTGGACAATGGGACAGGGAAGGGGGTAATGGTGGGGAGGATGAGGGGATGGGGCAGTTAGGGATGAGGGGACAGGGGAGTGGAGAATGGTGGGGAGGACAAGTTGACAGGGGAGTGGGGGATGGTAGGGATGATAAGGGGACGGGGAGGGGAGGAATGGTAGGGAGGACGAGAGGACAGGGGAGTGGAAGATGGTGGGGAGGACAAAGGGACGGTGGAGTGGGGAGTGGGGAGTGGTTAGGAGGACGAAGGGATGCTGGAGTGGGGGATGGTAGGAAGGACAAATGGACGGGGGAGGGGGGATTGGTAGGGAGAACGAGGGGAAGGGGGGGGGGGAAATGGTGGGGGAGGACTGGGAGACTGGGGAAGGTTGCTGTGGCTCAGCAACACACACTCGTTGCCGAGCCACAGCAACGTGTGGCCGGGTATAGCTAGTGAGATATAATCTTTATACTCAGGAACAAGTGAGGTGGTGGTGGTGGCCAAAAGCATCAGTACATAGTTTCAAAGTGCCACAATAATTAAACGTTACTCAGGCACATTTTTCTTACTAGGAATCATGAATCACAAACACTAGCATTTCTGGGCAACTGTTATAAATAGTAACATGTGGTCTATGTCTACATACCGTGGTATAAAAGCCGTTTCAACGTGTGGTGTGATTCCATTGAAATCCATTTTACATATTTCATTCTTTGTTCTCAATGCGGCCTCTTCAGTGGGATATGTCATGTAGCACATTCTGCAAAATAACATTTCTGCTATGCTACGTACTTTATATTTTTTAGTTTAATCTTTTGCAAAATGCTATACTACTTCAATGTATTTGAGCAAGACTATGGGAACTGACAATTCAACCTCTGACACCAAAATTGGCCAAATTTTTTTTTTTTTTAAATGACCATAATCAATTGTAATTAGTAGTAGATTATGTAGATTATTCACAAAACTTTGAAAGCATTTAAGCAAGTTTGAGAAACCGAGTTCCTGGTCGCATCGCCTATGTATGCCATGCGCAGTTTAAGAGTTAATCAATGTCATGAATGATACCAGTAATCTGGGCAAAGTTCAACACACTACCTATAAAACTTACTTAAGGAACGTTAATTCCGAGGCGGTTTGGCCCACAGACAGTAGCTCTGATGCTGTTTGAGCTGTAATAGGATTCCGGAAGAGTAGCAACACACTATATGGATCCTCCTCTTTCTGCAATGCACCAAAGAAATTTTTTTTTACAACAGGTCAAATTATATATAAACAAATTTACCTATCTTTGCTATCTTACCTATCTTACAAGAAAAAAAAAATTGACAAATGCCTCCCGAAGGTCACCACCTGCAACGAATCCAACCCTGCAAAGCACCGGGGTTGGTCCCATATAGTGTGTTGAATGGACATTGTACTTTATCAACCTGAAAAAGATTATACACATTCCTGTTGGGGTGTTGTGGGTAATGCTTGGCCAACTTTCGGCATTGGTGACGGTGGGGCGCACCAGGGTTTTGAACTTTGTATGTGTACGTCCCCGTAGGGAATTCTATTGTGAACACATTGATAACAACGTTAACGATGTAGCATGGGAATTAAGGTGAGACAACTGAAAAGGGTATACACATTTTATCGCTGCTTCATGCTCAATGGCTAATGATCACTCAATTTTTGTGCTTGGTGCAGTTGGCACGCCGTGCTTTTGGACATTATGTGCATATACTCCTGTGGTGAATTCTATTATGAACCAGTTGATACCAAAATGAAAAACGTACAATGAAAACGGAGGCAAGAAAACTGAAAAAGAGTACAGTGCATCCTCACTAACGAAACCCACTCTAGCGAATTTCCAGAAGATCCAAAGAAATTTAATTCGGTACTAAATGTTCAGTGGAACATACAAATGTTCAATTAAGCGAGGATTGTTTGTCCTAGCGATCAATGCACTGAGACCGAGCTGTCACAGTTGATGACAGCCACTGTAATCAACTATTAATCACCAAAGTGTGAACAGTTGTACAGTATTATATTTTGCTTACCCATTGTTTCCAGTGAGAAATGGTTGAAGGATGATAAAATGGTGTCGGGGAGGCCGGTTGCGTCATTGGTGAGGTTGGAGTCTGGGGGCAAGTGGTGTCAGTAGTTGGGGGTTTAGTGTCAGGAGGCAGGTGGTGGAAGTTATTCTCATCGGGGGTTGTCAGAGAAGACCTGGTGGTGAGTGGTGGAAATTGTCTTGGAGAGGCAGGTGGTGTCGGGGGAGGCAGGTCGTGTCGGGGGAGGCAGGTCGTGTCGGGGGAGGCAGGTCGTGTCGGGGGAGGCAGGTCGTGTCGGGGGAGGCAGGTCGTGTCGGGGGAGGCAGGTCGTGTCGGGGGAGGCAGGTCGTGTCGGGGGAGGCAGGTCGTGTCGGGGGAGGCAGGTCGTGTCGGGGGAGGCAGGTCGTGTCTTGGGGAGGCAGGTCGTGTCTTGGGGAGGCAGGTCGTGTCTTGGGGAGGCAGGTCGTGTCTTGGGGAGGCAGGTGGTGTCGGGGGAGGCAGGTGGTGTCGGGGGAGGCAGGTGGTGTCGGGGGAGGCAGGTCGTGTCGGGGGAGGCAGGTCGTGTCGGGGGAGGCAGGTCGTGTCGGGGGAGGCAGGTCGTGTCGGGGGAGGCAGGTCGTGTCGGGGGAGGCAGGTCGTGTCAATGGTGGATATTGTTGTTAGGGAAGGCAGGTGGGGGTCAGTGGTGAGCTCTGGTTATCAGTTATCAGCTAGTTGGCAACTAGTGGCTGGAGCCTCCATGCATCCATCTCGATAGTTCACTCACTCTGCTTTTCACTAAATTAGCTGAGAAAATGTTACCATTTCAGTTGTTCGTAACATTGTTCTATCATATTTCACAGTCAAAATGAAGAATTCATTATAAATGGTGGTATCAGTGGTGGTGGGGGGGGGGGGGAGGGGTGTATTAGAGGGGGGGATGCATTAGAGGGGGTGGAACATGTCAGGGAAGGGGAGGGTGTGAGTGGAAATGTCTGCCCAGTCTGGCCCCCCTCTCTGCCGACTGGGCACCACGTGGCTGCCTCGATACTATACTCACCTGATGCTTTTCACAAAATAAGGAGAGAAAATTTTACCATTTCAGTGACTTGTAACACATCGCTCTATCATATTCCATAGTCAAAATGAAGAATTCATAATAAATGGTGGTGTCAGTGGTGGGGGAATGGTGTCAGTGGTGGGGGAATGGTGTCAGTGATAGGGGAATGGTGTCAGTGGTGGGGGAATGGTGTCAGTGGTGGGGGAATGGTGTCAGTGGTGGGGGAATGGTGTCAGTGGTGGGGGAATGGTGTCAGTGGTGGGGGAATGGTGACAGTGGTGGGGGAATGGTGTCAGTGGTGGGGGAATGGTGTCAGTGGTGGGGGAATAGTGTCAGTGGTAGGGGGAATGATGTCAGTGGTGGGAAAATGGTGTCAGTGGTGGGTGAATGGTGTCAGTGATGGGGGAATGGTGTCACTGGTGGGGGAATGGTGTCACTGGTGGGGGAATGGTGTCAGTGGTGGGGGAATGGTGTCAGTGATGGGGGAATGGTGTCAGTGATGGGGGAATGGTGTCAGTGATGGGGGAATGGTGTCAGTGATGGGGGGAATGGTGTCAGTGGTGGGGGGAATGGTGTCAGTGGTGGGGGGAATGGTGTCAGTGGTGGGGGGAATGATGTCAGTGGTGGGGGGAATGGTGTCAGTGGTGGCGGAATGGTGTCAGTGGTGGGGGAATGGTGTCAGTGGTAGGGGGAATGGTGTCAGTGGTGGGGAAATGGTGTCAGTGGTGGGGGAATGGTGTCAGTGGTGGGGGAAGGGTGTCAGTGGTGAGGGGAATGGTGTCAGTGGTGGGGGAATGGTGTCTGTGATGGGGGAATGGTGTCAGTGATGGGGGAATGGTGTCAGTGGTGGGGGGAATGGTGTCAGTGGTGGGGGGAATGGTGTCAGAGGTGGGGGGAATGGTGTCAGAGGTGAGGGGAATGGTGTCAGAGGTGGGGGGAATGGTGTCAGAGGTGGGGGGAATGATGTCAGTGGTGGGGGGAATGGTGTCAGTGGTGGCGGAATGGTGTCAGTGGTGGGGGAATGGTGTCAGTGGTAGGGGGAATGGTGTCAGTGGTAGGGGGAATGGTGTCAGTGGTGGGGGAATGGTGTCAGTGGTGGGGGAAGGGTGTCAGTGGTGAGGGGAATGGTGTCAGTGGTGGGGGAATGGTGTCTGTGATGGGGGAATGGTGTCAGTGATGGGGGAATGGTGTCAGTGGTGGGGGGAATGGTGTCAGTGGTGGGGGGAATGATGTCAGTGGTGGGGGAATGATGTCAGTGGTGGGGGAATGATGTCAGCGGTGGGGGGAATGGTGTCAGTGGTGGGGGAATGGTGTCAGAGGTGGGGGAATGGTGTCAGTGGTGGGGGGAATGGTGTCAGTGGTGGGGGGAATGGTGTCAGTGGTGGGGGGAATGGTGTCAGTGGTGGGGGGAATGGTGTCAGTGGAGGAGGAATGGTGTCAGTGATGGGGGAATGGTGTCAGTGATGGGGGAATGGTGTCAGTGATGGGGGAATGGTGTCAGTGGTGGGGGAAATGGTGTCAGTGGTGGGGGGAATGATGTCAGTGGTGGGGGGAATGGTGTCAGTGGTGGGGGAATGGTGTCAGTGGTGGGGGGAATGGTGTCAGTGCTGGGGGGAATGGTGTCAGTAGTGGGGGGAATGGTGTCAGTGGTGGGGGGAATGGTGTCAGTGGTGGGGGGAATGGTGTCAGTGGTGGGGGGAATGGTGTCAGTGGTGGGGGGAATAGTGTCAGTGGTGGGGGGAATGGTGTCAGTGGTGGGGGGAATGGTGTCAGTGGTGGGGGGAATGGTGTCAGTGGTGGGGGGAATGGTGTCAGTGGTGGGGGGAATGGTGTCAGTGGTGGGGGGAATGGTGTCAGGGGTGGGGGGAATGGTGTCAGTGGTGGGGGGAATGGTGTCAGTGGTGGGGGGAATAGTGTCAGTGGTGGGGGGAATAGTGTCAGTGGTGGGGGGAATGGTGTCAGTGGTGGGGGGAATGGTGTCAGTGGTGGGGGGAATGGTGTCAGTGGTGGGGGGAATGGTGTCAGTGGTGGGGGGAATGGTGTCAGTGCTGGGGGGAATGGTGTCAGTGGTGGGAGAATGGTGTCAGTGGTGGGGGAATGATGTCAGTGGTGGGGGAATTTTGTCAGAGGTGGGGGAATGGTGTCAGTGGTGGGAGGAATGGTGTCTGTGGTGGGGGGAATGGTGTCAGTGGTGGGGGAATGGTGTCAGTGGTGGGGGAATGATGTCAATGGTGGGGGAATGATGTCAGTGGTGGGGGAATGATGTCAGTGGTGGGGGAATGATGTCAGTGGTGGGGGGAATGGTGTCAGTGGTGGGGGGAATGGTGTCAGTGGTGGGGGGAATGGTGTCAGTGGTGGGGGGAATGGTGTCAGTGGTGAGGGAATGGTGTCAGTGGTGGGGGGAATGGTGTCAGTGGTGGGGGGAATGGTGTCAGTGGTGGGGGAATTGTGTCAGTGGTGGGGGAATAGTGTCAGTGGTGGGGAAATGGTGTCAGTGGTGGGGGAATGGTGTCAGTGGTGGGAGAATTTTGTCAGTGGTGGGGGAATGGTGTCAGTGGTGGGGGGAATGGTGTCAGTGGTGGGGGAATGGTGTCAGTGGTGGGGGAATGATGTCAGTGGTGGGGGAATGGTATCATTGGTGGGGGAATGATGTCAGTGGTGGGGGGAATGGTGTCAGTGGTGGGGGGAATGGTGTCAGTGGTGGGGGGAATGGTGTCAGTGGTGGGGGGAATGATGTCAGTGGTGGGGGGAATGGTGTCAGTGGTGGGGGAATGGTGTCAGTGGTGGGGGAATGGTGTCAGTGGTAGGGGGAATGGTGTCAGTGGTGGGGAAATGGTGTCAGTGGTGGGGGAATGGTGTCAGTGGTGGGGGAAGGGTGTCAGTGGTGAGGGGAATGGTGTCAGTGGTGAGGGGAATGGTGTCAGTGGTATGGGAATGGAGTCTGTGATGGGGGAATGGTGTCAGTGATGGGGGAATGGTGTCAGAGGTGGGGGGAATGGTGTCAGAGGTGGGGGAATGGTGTCAGAGGTGGGGGAATGATGTCAGTGGTGGGGGGAATGGTGTCAGTGGTGGCAGAATGGTGTCAGTGGTGGGGGAATGGTGTCAGTGGTAGGGGGAATGGTGTCAGTGGTAGGGGGAATGGTGTC